TAGAAGAGCTGATAATGTACCCAAGGGATTGTGGTCATAAAAATCACAAGTGTCAAGCAATGCAATGCTTTTTCTCTGAACAAAGCAGAAATGTTGCATGTAGAGTATTTTCTCCAAACATATCTCTGGGGAGATTGTCCCAGGCTTCGAGCTCTTACATCTCAGCAACACTGAATCCTGTCAAGGAGATCCACTGTGAATGCTAATGTTTCAAGTCTCGCTTGTCCTTACAATATGTCATGCTAGTCCTTACAGCATCTGCAGTGCAGCAGTCATCTTCAGCAATTAAAAAATATCCTGTCTCTGTCTTGTGAGTTCCTCAAGCCTAGAAATTAAGAAGCCTTATTCCTTTCTATTTGAAGATAGTCAACAGGCTTCAAATCCTGCCTGATTAATAGATATCACTTTAAAGGATGTATATCATCTGAATAATAAAAAATATTCTGAAAAGTTATATGTCAGGCTTATGTCTGTCTGGGAAGGGGAACATTTCTCTCCACTAATCCTTCAAAATGCTTTTCAAATGTAGTGACTGCCATGTCAAAGTTGCACAAAGATCTCTATGGGATGCCACTGATCACCCAGGGATAATGAGACAAACAGCTCACTGCTATTTGTAGAGTACTGCTGACTGATCCGGGCACAGTCTTCAAATAGCCTTATGTGGACACTGTAGGGAAAACTGATGAAAATATATCCAGCTAAGAATCTAAACATCTGTCTTTTGAGGAAGAATAGCTTTTGTCTACCTTTACTCTCAGAAAGGAATGCTGCTGGTCAAACAACATACTGATATTTCAGCATGCATCTCTTTGAAATGCATAACGAGTTTCCTCGTTTTGTACTTATTTACAGGAACAAATGCCATAGTTTGAACTCGGAAAATGAATGATAGGCATTTAATGACTGAAGTAATATGAGCATACCTCAGTCTGAAGTGTTATAATGATAAGGGCAATTTGTGTTAAATTTTAAGACACACTGCAAACTTGCCAATGTTGATTATGAAAAAGAACACTTAAATAACATGTAGAGCATTTATATTTGTGTAACAAAGTGCCCATTTTGTCTTTTTAGCATAGCTTTAGAGTAATGATAATTTCAATTCAAAGACTAATTGGATCACATTTAGGTGTAGGAGTTTTTTTGTCCAAGCTCTGTGTAAGTAAATTTTTGTCATAAAGAGTTCGGCAGCACTCATAGAAAAGTTCACTGATACTGTGAGAAATGGGATAAGACAAAACACATCTTTTCATGTAGAAACCTCAAAACTAGGAACATATATTTTAAGGTTTGGCTTCTCTGATTATTGAATAAAGGGAAACAATAGTTTCTGCAGAAGTTCCAATATATCTACATTTTTTGAAAATTCAAAAATTAGCTCAGTATTCAATGATCTGAAAAAAACTTGCTTCATACAGTTCTGTTATTAATTTTATAACCCTTATGAAAAAATAAAATTTTGGATCAGTATTCTCTCAATTTAGGCCATAATGGAACACAGCCTTCTGTGGCAGTTCATGTTATTATTACCATTGGATACAACCTCACGTAGTTTCAAAATCTTTTACCCACTTACATTTATTGTAAGTAATTAAAAATGATTATTTATAAAATATATGTAAAGGAAGAAACATATGCTGCCTTCAAGTATTTGCAAGGCTACAGAAACAAAAAAAGGACAATGGATGACTGACTGCATATCAATGAAACATTTCTCTAAAAAAGGTTTCATGTTAGCTGAAGTGTATGCACTGTTTCTTATGTAAAAAAAGAGCCCCATAATGCTAAATCCTGACATCCAGGGCACTCCACAGTCACCTGTCTTTTCCCAGTATCTCTGGTAGTATCCTACCAGCTTACCTGAATTTTGTTTTTTAACCAGAAATAGGACCAGGTGAATAATGCAAATCCTGTCACTCCAGTGGAGGCAATAGCCTCCCTCAAGGAGCATGCAGATGAGGAGGATCAGGTCTTCATCTTTTTTCAGGTATTTTCACTTAACTACCACATTTCTCTTCTTGATGATAGGAAAAGGTAAAGGGAGGGAGTAAGTAAGCCATGATTTTGAGGGGAGAAGAAACTTCAAGCCTGTCCTTGCTCCTGACTGTTTGAGCTCCACAATGGAGACAAGGCAGACAGAATATCAGACAAAAGTCCTCTGTGTTTCTCTATGACACAGTGCTGGAGCAGCCAGCTGAATTTCACATTTGGGTAATGCAGCACATTTTCATGTCAGGAAAGGAGAAGGCAGGTCAACTGCAGTGGCAACCTAGGTATCACCAGCTCAACCCCATTTTGGAAGAAACCTGAAAATCTGAAAAGTCAACCTAATTAAAGCATTCTGTGAGTGGCTGCTGAATCAACATTTCCTGTTTTGTTATCATTAGGATCCAATTTAACTTACAAGTTATAATATGATACTGTATGCTATATCACAAACTAATATTGCAATCAGTGTATATATTATAATCATTGGATGTTATACTTCCCATAAATTTCAGGCTTCACCTAAGTCTTCGAAGTCTGACTCCATATCTATGTGTAATTTAGCAATTCATTATGTCCAGTGTCTTCTGCTGACACAAAATATCAGTGTCATCAATTCTTAGAATAATACATATATTTATGTTTCCAAGGCTTTCTTTACTTGTTGGTTTCATTAGAAAACCAATATTCTCTTTCACAAGGCCAAAGATCAGTCCTTTTCTCAAGGGCTTTCCACAAGTCATTCTACTCAGGAATAATTTCTCTGGTATCTAAAATGTCACTCATTTCTTCTTATCTCTGATTTGTCTGTGCACTGTGAGTTAAAAATGTTATCAAAACATTTTTCATCTTGAACAACATGATTCTCTCAGGACACAGCTCCACCAGCAAGGTCTGTTTATAGCCTTGAGTGTTCGAAATTTCACAATGAGAGGCAAAGGGCAAGGCTCAGTCATATATTGTGGCAACTGCACAGAAACCACCAGGTTATACTGTTTCCAGGAATGAGAGGAAGGATAGGGGATATGCCAAAACTGTACCAACAGCAATGGATGATTATCTCAGAATTATCTCAGAATTATTCATGGGACCCTACTTTCTCTTGCACTAATGGGAAACTAGGATTTGAAAACACATAAATGGTGAGGCTTAGCTTCTTGAAAACGCTGACATACAAGACCGAATTCTAAGTTTCTGTTGATGAGTATTATAGGAACCAATAAGATATTACTCCCTTTTCATACTCAAAAAGGTGCAGCAGAGCTCTATATTTCTTAAATGTCTCTAACCTTCCACTTTCCCTATAGCTTTAGGCCATTTTATATATCTCTCTCTGCAAATGCCCAGCTAAACCAGTGCAAAATGGAAGCTTTAGGGGACAAGCACCTACAACTGTTGCAGATTAAACTTCACATGCAAGCTCACCATATCTGTTTCAAACAGGACAACACCCTTGTGCACCTCCTCCCTTCTACCACTTTCCAACCCCCTCCTCTCTCCCTATTAAATAAATTTTAATATCAAAATAAAGAAAAACACACACATTTGGTTTTTTAACGATTTGTACAAAATCACAAAAGAAACTCGCTGAATTTAAAGCCTGTGTTACATAAAGTAAGTTAGGACTTGAGGGATTACAATAAGGTTTTTTTCACTGTACTTCTACACGAGAAAATGAAACACACCTCTAAAACGTTAAAAAAATAATCTCTCTGAATTTGGATTAGCTTCAAATAACAAAAAAACCAAAACTGAAATAATTTTATTAGCTAATTCACAATACTTTCTAGTGAAATGAAACCTTTTGACAGTTTATGAAATAAACAGTAGCATGTTTATTCCAGTGAGCTTTAATCAAGGGAGAATTTGCAATTTTTTGAACAGAAGTTACAGTTCAAAACTGGATTTTTCTACAATTGTTGCACCTTTATGTATTCATGTAAATTGAAGTTTGCTTAGGTCCACTGTAGTACCTTCAGTTACATGTGGCTCTTCTCAGCCCCCTACTTAGGTAGAGGAAAAAGGGCTGAAGTTGCCAGTAAGATGTTAACAGTCTCAACAACTTTCAAAATTCACCCCTATTAACTTTCCTTATCAGTCAGGTTGCACCATACATCTCAGCTTTCCCCCTTTGTTGCTCTTAAGTGTCCTCTACAAAACTGTATGATTCTTACACATTCACACTATAGCCTTCCCATACTGCAACTGAAAGATGAGCTATTAAAAAATCTGATAAAAAACATCACTCTTACAGAAAAAAAACTCCACTGACAGATAATTCCTGAACAAAAAAACAAACAAAAGAAAAATTACAAAGTTGTGCTAGAAACAAACTACTAACTGGTGACTTCTAAAAGAATCCTGAGAAGACAAAGAAACCTTAAAGCAGTGAAAAAAAGTTAATAGTGGAGGAAAATTAAATGCAAATGTGAAGTGCAGTTTTGATGGCATGAGTTAAAGGAGAGTTGCAAATTGCTTTGCTATTTGCTGAGGAATGAGTGTTCTTCTTGGAAAAAGGTAGGCACATTGGCCATTTTCCTGCGTTTAACATTACTGGCAATCTCTGGTACATGTATTAAATGGGAAATATCTATTGGTTCTTTTAACTTCGAATATTGAAAGAATGAGACAATACAAACAAGGAATTTCAGTTTCAATTTCTGTCATGCTGAATGGATTCTGACAAGGACAGACAGACAGGCTGGCACTACCAACCTCCTGCCAAGTGGGCTAAGGCTGTCCCAAAGTGAGCAGGAACAAGCCTGAATGCTCCTTGGTGCTGGACAGAAGGCAGGACTGACCTGCAGGCATGCATAAAGTTTGTATTCCAGGCCTGGGAAGCCCAACTAATCTATACCGCTGTGATTTTGTTTTAAAAAAGTCAAACAAAAAGCCCACAGACACACCACAGGCAGACTACACTCACAAGTGCAAACAAGAAAGGGAATTCCAGAAGAGAGAGACCTGCCTGGGCAGCCAGAGACATAGTTCCAAGCCTCCCAGACAGGGTGATGGAGGCCAGAGCTCTCAGCATACTGTCTAAAGAGGTCACTGCTGGGGTAAACGATTATGGGCCTGTCATACTGGCTATGGGACCAGCTGGCAGAAAGCTGACAGGTGAACAGTGCCCTCCTCTAGAGGAGCAAAGGCTTGAGGTGAGCTCAGTTTTCCCCTCAAGTGAGAGGAAAGGGAGTCATCCTCCTTACAGAACAATGGTAAATGGCTCAAACCTCATCTTGTTCACAGGGAGGTCATCCAGGTCTGAGCAAGAAAGATGACCAGAAGGTGCTTCCATAGGGATGCTCATATGGGAATGAAGCCCTATGCCCAGAGCACGTCTCTTCGGCCTTTCTCCCCTCTTTCTCATCCATCCTTCTTCCCCCACTCTCTTCCTTTAGTCTTCCCAGCCATTCTTCCTTCTTTTTGCTTTTTCACAGCCTACGCCTTTCCTCCCTTGCTTCCTGCACTCCCTTCCTTGGCAGTGGCTCTTGCTGCTGGGGGAAGAGATACAGCACAGGCTAGCAGTCTTTTAACTTGGCTGAGACTCTAGACATATGTTTTAGGGCATGAAAAAAGGGAAGCCATGTAAACAGGCACAGGCAGAGGAAGCACCTCTGTGCAGAACTTTGCTCTCAGGGTGTTTCACTATGTAATTTTTTCCCTCACCCATGGATTGTACATTGTTTATTTTTTTTCATAGTTCCATTAAGATATAGATTATTTAGTTATCAGATGCATTATATGTTTTATTCCAACAACCTTTCCTGTTTAAAAATTTGTTTAAAATGTAAAAATCCATGTCCCAAGGACTGTGTGACTGTCATTGAATTTTTTTTATGACTTGCTCCAAATGTGCATTCATGACTCTCCATTGACTTGTATGACAGCTTTTCATGTAGAGCAAAAATAATTCCTAAAACAAAAAGGAAAAAAGGATTTTCAAGTATTTCCTGCTAAAACAGTAATTCTTTGCTTTTACTTCAGGATATTGTTGCACAAGATTGTTTCCTCACTTTCTACCATGTGGAAAGACTCACTCCATTCTCTAGCTTGTTCTTATCTCAGCCTTTCCCACCTAATCTCTAGCTCATTTTCAGTTGTATCTTTCTCTGGCCCTCTTGTCAGTCTGCTTTCCCTATGGAACCTCTGAGGATGAAATGAGTCTTTTTGAGGGCCTTTTTAGGTTTTTTTTTCAGAACACTTCCAGTTTCCCAGTAAATTCTCACTCTTCTTGCCACAGTAGTCATTCTGGGAATGCAGCTACATCTCAGAACTAGGTGTTAGCCTACTTCTTCTTCTTCTTCTTCTTCTTCTTCTTCTTCTTCTTCTTCTTCTTCTTCTTCTTCTTCCTCTTTTTTATTTTTTTTTATTTTTTTTTAAGAGCTAGTGTACTGCTTCCCAAATCAGACTTCTCTCTTGCTAGGTGCTACTGATATGTAGTCTCAGGTAGTTCAACACTTTTCCACGAAGTCAAAGCTAGTTTCCCTTAGTCTTCCCCTCCTCTAGTCTCCCGCTGTTTAGAAACCCCTTCCTTTTCCACCAAAACCCCACTGTTACCACTTTAAAGTAGTTCTACCCGCCTAACTGAAACCCTTCAATGCTCACATGAGAGTAAACCTCTTTTTGCTTCAGAAATCCTCAAAAGTTCACATCTGGGATACCTCAACATTTCCCAATAGAACATTCTGCTATCCCTCAGATGAACTTCAATGTATCCAGTCTGAGACTTCATAACATCTCCCATGAATTAACTCATGTTTTACTAGCCAAAACTAATAATTCTTCTTTCTCAGTCATATTATCACTACTAACCAAATCCTACACTGTTCCTTCAGGTATTTGGGGATGCTTACCCCACTCCTAAATTTCACTATCTCCTGGAGGCATCTCAGCAATTCCTACTCACGTCCCCTTAAAATATTTGGGTGTCTTCTACCCTCAAGAACCTCCAGTATTCCCTCTGAGATACCTCAGTTTTTCTCCTAAAAAATGGTCTGTCACCCTGATATACCTCAGTGTCTCCTGCCAAAAAATCTCCACCACCCAGCTCGTGTTGTGTTGGCTCGTGTCTTGTCCCCTCCATGCACTGCTCCTTCTGCAGGAAACTTGGGACAAACCTCATCCAAGGCCTCCATCATCATCATCACTACTTGCCTTTCCCACCTAAATTATTCACTGGAGTCTCACACCTCTCTCCCAGGCTCTCTTAAGGGCCTCAGTGGTTCCTGTAGAAAATCCTCTCCTCTCCCCAGGTGCAGTGCAGCCTGTCCCACCCACCTGAAGTATCTCAGCTTTCCCAAAATATCTGAGCACTCTCCGCCTCTGAGGTGACTCGGCATTTTGTCCTACAATCCAGCACATTTTACCCAAATTTTACCTCCTCTATCCCCCTTGGAAACCTCACACAAAAGGGTCTTGTGGACTTACTGAATTTTGAATACTAGAATGTTAAGCAATTCTGTCCGTGGCACTGCAAAATGAATGCCTGTCAAGGTACCTCCGCACACCCTGCCCTGTTGTACCTCAGAGGCACATTGGAATATCTGTATAAAATACAGCCAAGAGTCTACAGCGGCCAGTAAGATTAACTCGAAAACTTGCCTGCATCTTCTGTAAAAAAAAGCCTCAGGACTGTTGTTCCAAATTGCCAGCTCACCCACTGAGTGGTCGTGGCTGACCTGAAGTCAATTATATGTGGAGAACTGTTACAAATTCTGAGAAGCGCTGGAGGAAAAATTTTCCACTGAAGAAACTTTATCCATAAATTACTCTGCAAGAAAATAAGTGAGTTTTCTTACTGAAACACACAGAAAAACTGGTACAGATGTCAGTGAATATAACATTTTACTGATCTGTTTCTTTGGAAATTCCTAGTATTTATGTTTAGCCTAAGTATGAGTTTTCTGTTGAAAACCAGATCAACCATCAGGTCCAATGAATCCCGCTATGCCAGTGTAGAACATCTAGAAAGATTTGGATCTCCTGTTCATAAAAGTAGTCAGGAGACAACTGGATCCCCAGTCCAAAACTGATTGAAAACTTCATGTTGGGCTGTAAGCAGACTAAGAATTGCTTTCTAACTTCCCTATTACTTGGCCTTTTATTTTCAGCTGAATGCCAGTGAATCTGTGACTGAAGTATATATTTTGATTTGATGGACACTGAGAAAATATCTCAGCAAGGTTTTTTATCTCTCAAACAGGAAACACAGTATTGGAAAAATCGGAAGAGTGTATTAATATATAAATAAATCTTCAGAATATGAATAGCTGGTAAAAATTTATCTAGGATATGTTTAAACTAAATGGAGGTCATGAAATTAAACACTTTATCTGTGAAAATATTTTAATGAGAACAAATAACTGTAATTGGTGGACTGGTCTTCTGAACATGCTTCAGATAGGACTGTACCATCTGGAGTTACCAGCACTTTGATGAAATGCCAAATTTCTAGTTTTGAATTCACTGATACTACTGTAATCTATTTGATACATTCTTTATTTTGGATTCATGACTAACATCACAATGTGCTTTTTGCAGAACAAAAACTGCCTAACAAAAACACCTAGCTATTTCTATTTTTGGTATTCCTATCTTATAATTATGAAGCATCTAGGAATATCAAGCAGAGTAATCACTGCATTATCTAAACAAACTCTTTTGCAGCATGGTATTTTGTTAATATTATTAACTGTCCTGGTCAGCATCACAAAGGATACAAGTCCCCAGAAATATGATTTAGTAAATACATAATTCAAATATACAAACGAGGAGAAATCACAGAGTAGTTGTACTATGCTGTGTAACAACAGATGACAAAGAAGGAACTGAGTGAAGATTACATGATTGTAAAAATAAAGTAGTAAAGCATAAAAAGGCATGCTTTTTAATTTAGAAATTGTCTTTCCAGGCACCTTTGTGCTTGATTTTCTTGTTTATGTACAAGTTGCTAAGAATACAATAAAAATATGTCATATATATAAAATATAGAAATATATTTCAATAAGATTTAAAAAAAAAGAGATAACCACTCAAATAGTCTAGTTGCAAAATTTCTGTTTTATCTTAAAATTTACCTTAGAATTTCTTAGTTCAAATTTACTTATTCTTCTGGCTAGCTTTGATTTTTAAAATTTGTCACTACTATGGCTATGTGAACCACTAAAAAATATTCTACTACTTGATCATTACATCACTAAATACTCTAATATTTCTCCCTTCTGCCGTTGTAAATTATTTTTTCCCAAATAGTTTATTAAGTAGCTTAGTTTGTTCACAAATTGGGGTTTCATGTGTCAGTGTGACATACACCATAATGTCATAGGCTAAATTCCTTTCTCTTTCACAATTACTGCTTCTCTTTCAGCCTTTACCAGTAGCAAGATTTTCACCTCGTTACCATGGGCAGTGTCTTTTTCTGCTGTTTGATATTCCAGCATCCCAAGTCCAATGCTTTTCTCTACCGAAGGAATTGCCCTTTCACTCTTTCCTTCATCTCAATCATTTTAGGTAGAAGATACAAGGAAGCAAGTGAGGAAATGGCTTCATTTTTAAACTTCTCATTCTGAAGTTTCTCTTCCTTTTCATCTGCAACTGAAAATCTTTCCTCTACTCTGACACTGAGCAAACAGGACGGATATCTAAAAAGGCTGAAGAGCAGGGACACACAGCTGCCTTTCCTTTTAGTCCATAGATTTGGTGTATTCAGTTTTGTGGTAGTAAGGAGCTAAATCATTTGCAATAAAGAGGCAGACCCAGATGATTGGAAAACAACCGAGCACCTGTAGAATGCACTATTTTTATTGATATTATATTTATGACTACATAATGTGCATATAATATGATATATTTTTTATCTATACATATTATATATAAGTGATATTAATATCGATTGAGCTATCCAGTAGGCAAATCCAGTCTTCTACCAGAAACAGCCTTGATTATTGAAAGTTCTAGAACAAGCTGAAGAAAATCTTTTCCCCTGCTGCAATTAAGCTCTTATTATTTATCAAGGAGTTAATCACAGGTTCGAAATAATATGTCCCGTCTCTCTAATGTTTTGCTAGTATTTTCTTCTTCTAATACAACTTCTTTTTTTCTTATAACGGTCTGGTTTTGGATCATCTTTTTCTCACTTCTTTTTCTTCTGGCCCTC